TGCAAGTAGCATTTCCCCAAGTCACAACAAGAAAACTGTCACCCAAGAAGCCAAATCGCCCCATTTTCTTGTTAAAGTCCCATCCATCTCCAGTGGAAACCCAGCTCTGAGAGGGAGGCCAGTTCCCACGGTCACACAGCTTGTGGAGGACCCAAGCCACACCTCTTCCCAGCCACTATGCAGCATCTGCTTTGAAGAGGGGTCATTCCTGGATGCCTGAACCAACTCTTGGCCTTAACTCGGGTGGGAACTATGAAAGATTCATTCCTATAGCCATGGCCAGGCCCAGTCTTCTGTCATAATGAGGGTTGTAAGAAAACCCCAGGGTCTAATTCCCAGGGAATAAATTCTCCCACTTCATTCCCTTGGCATGGGAAATAATGAGGGTGTAAGTAGCACTCAAGGAATTTCCATGCCCCAAACAGAGCCCCTCTGAGTTCACAGCAGTGGAATTTCTTGAGTTCCTGCCGTGTTCCAGGCACCTGCAAGTATTATCTCATTTAACCCTTACCAGTGCCCTGAGAAGTAATCAAACATCCCATTTTACAGATGAAGCAGCTAAGATTTCAGAGATCTTGGGTTCCTTACCCTAAGTCATAGGACCAGGAAGTGACCAGCCCTGAATCCCAGCCTGGGCCTGCTGACTCCAAAGCACCAGCTCCTTACACTCTCCCACTGCCCCTCCTCACCTCCACCATGCCCAAGCCTTGCTCTGGCCAATGACAACCAACTTTCACACCTAGCCATTTTGCAACTATCCTGTTTCCTTGTACAATCACTGGCTCCAGTTGTCCATATTTTATTTTGAGGACAAAAGAGAGGATGACATGTGCCACCAGAGATTCAAGACTAGGCAGAGTAGCAGGTTGGAGGCCCAAAGCTTTGCTAGAATTATATCTGCGGGACTGGGCAGGAAGAAAATCTATGACTTATCAGCTGTTCACACCCCACCCCACCCCACGGTGGTGAATGATGGAGGAAACATGCCTGACAGTTCTGTTAGCTCTTTAATTAAACGGAGAGAAGAGCCCTCAAAAGTCGGTCAATCAGCTGGAGAAGAAAGGAGCGAGACTGTCTTCTAATCAATGGCTGCTCCCATCTCGTTCATCAAAGGCTTTATCTGTCAGTTTCTATTGTCTGGAGTTAATGAGTCACTTTGAATTAGACTTTCCTTCCACGGCTCCCCTAGCTGAAGGGAGGTGGCCTACTCTGGGGATTGCTCTTGCCTGGCAATACTGATCTGTGTTCCTCGGAGCACTGATGACTGTGACGCTTTACTAAGAAGCTACAGTGTGCCGGGCTATGCAGCAAGGGTTCAGCATGTCCTAGCTCTTGTGAGCTTCGTGTCAACTCTAGAAAAAGCACAGTCCTGGCTTCCTGCCCCCTGCCAATTAGAAGCCTCTGTCTTCTCATCTGTAAACTGGACACAATCATAATACTGGCCTCACAGAATCGTGAAGACACAATACTTTAATATTTGCATGGTTCTAAGAATAGTGCTGGGCATGTAGTAACTGGCTCCAAATGTTCACTGCTTTTATTCTTTCCCCCATTCCTCAAGCAAGGACACTGAGGTTTATGGAGTTGGGACCTGGCTGTGGCTAAAAATTGTCCACAGTGGAGCTGGAACTTAACTCAGTTCTGTCTGATTCCAGAGCCCAGTTCTTACCACACAATCATGAAGAGCTGGGGGTGGTTAAGTTCATGCAGTGCACCATTCCAGCTCTTAGGAAACACTGGGGAACTAGAACACTGGAGGTAGCTGCCACACAAGACACCAGGAGCAACCCAGAAGACTGCACTGAGCCTGAGAAACATCTCTAACACAGAGGAACGGTGCCCCACACCGGGGTCAAGGACACAAAGGGCTACCTCCTCCCAGAGCCCAGTCCTAACTCCAGCTTGGCATGAAGTTCCCATGGGCCCCAACCTTCCTAGATTCTTCCTTGGCTACCGCAAGTGCACATGAGCATGCACACACACACTCACACTGGGGCTGTATCTGTACTCACATTCACCAGGCTTTTGAACTCCATGCCTGTCCATGCATGCTCTTCACTCTATCTGGAGTGCCTCCCCCACCCCATCCTCACCACCCCTTATCCTCCGAAATTCAGTCCAGGTGTTACTTCCTCCAGGAAACCTCTCATGACCACCCTCACCCTGGCAGGTCCAGATGCCTCACTGGGGCACCCACATGCTCCCTTCCTTGTCTTTCCAGGTTGCAGTTGCCCAATAATTACAATTTCAAATTACAATTGTCTTCCTGTTGAATGGGCCCTGGAATGCTCTCAAGGTCCAGCCTAGAGCTTAGCACAGAAACAGGTCCTCAAGAAATTTGTGAATGAATGTGTTGCTGTAGGGGGGGTACCTATGTGGGTGCACTTCTATGTGAAAGAGAGATTTCACTGGCTTCAAGTGGGGCACAAAGACCACTGGGAGAAGGAGACTTCCAGGGAAATGCACTGACACATAGTAAGTACTCTTGACCATATCTAAAAAAGAATAGGTTGCCTCAGCAGGCAATGGGCTCTCCAAGACTGGAGAATTCCAAGTAGAAGCAGAGAGGACACCTGGGTTGCTATGGTCAATTTCTGAATCACTGAGATGCTTGTTGATGTTCTAATGCCTCAGTCTGTACTCAGTGGGTCTGAATCTTCCAAGCCAACCTTGACCATAATGATGGTGATGACAGTCACTTACAAAGCACTTTGTGCACTGTGCAGTGTGCAGCGTGGTGTGGCTTTCACAGAAAGAGCAATCACCAGTCCTCTTACATGGGGCTCGTACACAATGGGAAATGGGTGTGAAATCAAAATAACCAATTCCTATATCGAAAGAGGGAAAGATAAAATTTGCAAACAATCTTTAATTAAACCTCATTTTTTCTCATGCAACCTTTGACCAACTATTTCTATTTTCATACATGTGCCTTAATTTTCATTCTTTTGTTTCACAATAGAATGACATATAACAAGCTAAGCCCAAAGATCCTCTAGCTCAGGCTGAAGATCTGCTGTGATCCATGGCTTTTATGATTTTATCTTCTCTTTTTCTTCCCTTTCTTTGGCTCTGTTGAACTTAGTTTATGAGACTCATATGCCTTTACCAGTCAGATCAGCACTTCTTCTTTCTGCTTGGTTTTATACAGTCATTGCAAAAATGCAATAAAATATTAAAGTCCTTGGCACAAGCACTGCTGCACAGGCAAAGGTAGAGACCCTTACAGAGGACTGTTTTACCACCAGGCATCAACTGGTGCACAAAATCTTAACTCACATATAGGAAGCAGTGTATGGGCATCAGTGTAAATGCGCCAAAAGCAGTGCATCCCAAAGATGGATAAACAGAAAGCAGAACCAACCGATATGGTTATGGTATTTGACTGTCTGATGGGATATTTTGGCTCAGAGCAGTCAAATAACACAAAAATCCACACAGCTGATAGAAGCTAGAACATAAATCAAAGTGGAATCCAGAGTCTATAATAGAAGAAGAAAGAAGGCAGAGGAGGAAGAGGAAGAGGGGGAAGAGAAAGAGGAGGAGGAGG